TACGTAGCCATTGCGGTTCCCTGTCTTCTGATTTCCATTATTTCTGACCGTATCGCGTTCGGACGATGGACTTTGCACCAGCTCAACTTTCTGCGATTTAATCTCCTCACAAATGGCGCGAATTTCTACGGCGTCGAGCCCTGGCACTGGTACTTTACCAACGGCCTACCCACCATGTTGTTCTCTTCGGCTGCATTTGTCGTCGCTGGTTTTCTTATAGATTTTACTGGTACTCTGACCGGTGGTGGCTTGAGATTCTTCTCATCATGGAGACCTAACATGGTCGCAAAGGAAGCGCGGTTGCATCACACGCTATCCAAGTTTTTTGGCCTCATTGTGGCCTGGACAGTACTAGTCTACAGGTGAGAACAAAGTAAAGCTGACACAACATTCTTACTTGCTTCTAGTTAGTAGTCCGTTTTGTTTACGGTATAATTCCTTTGTAGCTACCTCGCCCACAAGGAGTACCGTTTTATCTTCCCCATCCTACCACTGCTCCACTATTTCGCTGGTCGGGGCTTGGTCTGTGCATGCAATGCACTGAATCGCAGGGGTTGGAAGAGCATCTGCTGTGTGTTTTCACCAAAGACTGCCCTTGCGCTGTTTCTGGTCCTTAGTCACGTGCCGCTCGCTATGTACACTTGTCTGGTGCACCAACGCGGCCCGACGGAGCTGATGGGACTGCTAGGTAGTCAGGGCGATCGGAATAATTGGCCCTCGGCTACACCACTCTCATATGAAAACGGGAAAACTCTAGGACCGGATGAACAAGTGCGGGCCCTTTTTCTCATGCCCTGTCACACTACTCCGTATATCAGGTGAGCACACGTATAAACCCGTTCTCATAAAATATGTTAAAAGAACGTAATTGCCCTGCCAGTCTTTATCGATTTTGTGACATGTAAGTTATTAAGTGCGTAGGAAATTTAATTTTGTGTCCGCATGACTTTGGGTTTTTCGTTTCTTTTCCTTCCTCTTAAAGTGCAGATCTTACTTGCGACAATTCATTTACAATGTTTTACGGTAAACTTTTTTTCGATGGACTAAAATTGCGGATGTGTGAGAAGTTCTTACAAACGTAAATTATTTTATCCACGGTGTATTATCACCAATATCTGATCGTAGTTTTATGAGCTCTCTCCGAATAGCCTTCGGCTGATTTGAAGCGGCCGAGACCACGGTACCAAAGAAACTGAGTGCGCGACCATTGGGATAGTAAGTTCATTGGCCTGAGCTGTCGGTCTCGTACAAGAGACCGTCATCAGAGACTGTGAGAATGAAACAACAAGAACTGAGCCGTTTTTGTAGCCAATTAAATAGGAAGGATTGTAAGCCGGTGGGATACAGGGGCAATAAGTTTGGGAAGGCAGCTGAAAACCAGGGCATAGCATTTGTCACGCCATTTGGAGACACCTGGACGGAAACAGGTCTCAGACATATTACAGACTGTTTTTTAACCGATTAAGAGTGTAGGGTGTGAGTCCCTCTTTTTCGACCCTAATTTACTAGGTCGGAACTGAGTATACATGTACCTCTTCCCTCCCCGAAAGGACTCGGAAATGGGAACGCCCCTCACTCCTACGCAGCTTTGTGGTAAATACCAGAAAGGGCAAATATTCTCATGCCCTTAATCCGAAAGTAGCTCCAACTCAGACGTTACTTGTAACTCTTGTACTTTTAAATCTTATTCCCTAACACGTACTCCTTCTTCACCGTAATTTTCCTTGAAGTTATCGCAAAGCCGGACGGTTCCTGCGTCCTGCCATGGGGGGAGGGGGGAAGGACATGTAAGCAGTTTCTGCCATTTGTTGAGTTAATAGCTTTTATCTTAACGTTTAAAACACCAGCCCGTCAGGTTCCACAAACAGGTGATCTCTTACGAAAGACTGCCTTGTTCCCATGCAAGAAATAAATTTTCATATACGCACATCTTCATTATTTGTCAGAAAGACGCTATCATTAGTCTAGGTGGACTCAGGTCGAATTAGGTTTATCAAGGGAAATATAGGCAAACGCCTTAGGACTCTCTATTGTTCGGTAGGGAGGAGTTGTATAGTCTCCTAGACAGGCGACATGAATAGAAACGCCCCCACCCCACCTTAAATTACTTTCCGATAAATTTAAGAACAGCCGTCATTATGGGCTTGAGAACGAACTACAAGCATATATACAGAGCCCCTAATGACGGTTGTGTAGGATTGAAATGAACGTTTGACGGATCCTCTACTTCTGATCCTTGCTTTTAACCCCAGTCTATACAATTTCCAGCTCATTTTTGGTCATGCGCTTCTCATTTGTACTGTCAAATGTTTCCGAGGCATTTAAAGTGCCAAACGCTCAGCAATCTAATCTTCTGTTTAGCTACCTTCACCGAAACATTTCCCTACGTCTACTCGCCTGTGATCCGGACCTCTCTGCTTTGACTGGTGGGGATCCAGCCGCTTATGTTGATGAGGCAGAAGTCTTCTACGCAGACCCTCTGGCTTGGCTGAAAGCGAAATACTCCGAGTCCCTCAAGCTTCCGCATTTCATTGCAATGTTTGATCAGCTGCTGCTGGATGCTAGGTACGGATCCGGTGTTGCAGACTTCCTCAAAACTCGTAACTACTTTCCCTGCGCCCGTCTCTTTCATGCTCATTTCCCGACTCATCGGCGCCATGGAAAGTATATTCATCTATTCTGTCGTCGGGGCTCGCCATTTCAGTTAAATTAGTACGTTGTACTTTCCGCCAAAATTGTATATGTATATTTGAAGGGTTATGGACAGGATACCATTTTGTTTTTTCTCGTCGTTGCTTATCCTGTGTATTTTTACTTTTGTAAGGATGATATTAGAGATTTGTGTACCGAGACAAAGATTTGTTCTTCAAAAAGGTGTTCTCCAGTTCCCCTTACTGCGTCGATATTCTGTCGCAAGTTGTCTGTTTGCCCGCTTACTCAACTGCCTTGTCTTAGTGCTGCATTTAGGGTGCGTCCTTGTTTGTGAGAGGAACTAGCAATTAGAGGTAGTAGGCGTTATAGTCAAATGGTCAGTTTGCACCTACGTAGTCTGGAGCCACATCTTCGCCTGGAGCCGCTACTGCACGAAAGGCATAAAAATTTGCTGGCCTATTGCCATTGTAACTGCGGTTCTAATGACCCAGCTGCGTGCCAAGTTTTCCGATTGAGGTTGGACGCATATCTGCAAGTTGACGGGGGTGATTTCTATGTCCTCTCAGGCAGTTTCGATGAAAAAGTAGGCTTTTCCTACCTCCCTCTTGCATTTCTTCCTTATTTTCATCCATCGCCTGGGCACAAACAGGATCGTAGATATCTTGTATGGCGGAGATATCCCGGTGGCTTAAGTTAATAGGGAAGACCTTTGCTGCTGCAGTCTTCTGGCCCGATTCCGTGGGTGGGAAGAGAAGAAGTGGGACGCCAGGCGGAAGGACTTGTGTATTCTGTACAGAGCAAGCGCAGAATAAGTTGGAGGAAGTTGTCAGCCGAACGAGCCTG